CATTGTAAAAATTTCAGGTGTACATCATTGTACTTCTATTTCTGCATAGATTACATCATGTTCACCACCAAAATACTAATTACAACCCATCACCACACAAATGAATAATAGAATATGTATTCTTTGGAGATTGGCTTCTTTTGCTCAAATTATGTTTGGGAGCAGCAGATCCAGCTGTGCAGCAAGTGGAGTTCTTATCTTCTTCGAGAAGGCAAACATTCCTTCTGCAAGAGCATTAGTAGGTCTCCTGCCTGTGTATGAATGAATTAATCTTACACTATTTTCTTTTATAGCCAGAGGGCAGGATGAAGGTAGTATTTCCCCAGGGGCATGAAGGGCATGATGGAAAGTGTGGGAGAAAAACTATAGAAAGGGCAGGTTGCTCTAAAGAAGTATTTCTAGGATATGATTTGATGCTAAATATCTTTAGGAATTTGTTCAAATCAACCTAACCTGCAGAACCCTAGCCATATCAACGGTAAAATGCAGTAATAATATGTCTTCCTTTCTTCCTTCCCTATATTAAATATACTCTGTGTTAAATGTGTATTAAATGTACTCTGTATTAAATGTGTTCTGGGCTTTGTTTAACAGAGAGTTGCTAAAGTCTTCCTAGATGGATGATTTCATTTAAATACACAATACGCACACCATTAAGTCTACTACAACCCAGACAGGTATGATGACTATCTCCATAGGAACCCACTTCATTAACCAAGAGTAGATTGCAACCCATTACAAAGTGTTTCAAATGCAATAAGACTACCCAGAAATTCTTGGGCTCTGAGCTCTGCATGAATATATAAGAAGCGGTTTTCAGACTGCGAAGGAAGCAAGTACTCAGCAAGCAGTGACAGATGTGGGAAGTAATCAAGCTTTCAGTGTGAGGCACAGGAAGGCACAATTCTCCTCCGTTTAAATGCCATGCCCTTCAAAGAGACGCCCAAGTGGCCAGGGGCTTCTCTACAGAGGCAAGACTGAGACATCAAGATTTGCAAGGCAAAAACAGATATCTGGGACCAAACTCACATCTTCCCTGAGACAGGTCAGATCCTGGATCAGCAAAAAATGGGAAGAGGGGGATAGGTGGAGAGAGGGGGATAGGTGGAGAGAGGGGAGGAGAAAGACGAAGCTCAGCTAGAACAAATCCATGACAAGATAATTAGGGAAGCCTTTCCAATAGAAACAGAATGAGTATGGAATAGGGTGGGCAACTGGGGAGAGGAGAATCAGGGCCGAGGAAATCTGATTCTGAAACCATGGAGACCCTGTTCAAAATGCTTTATCACCAGATCTCAGCATATTCACCTGTGAAAGGGAAACAATAAAACTGATATGCTTTCATTACTTGCAAATGATGTATTTGTCTCTATCCGTTTGTCTTCCTGCCTCTCTCTATCAGTATTTATAGCTCTAAATTAGTAGTAGGACTTAATCCACTATCAATTTTATTGATTGTTTTAATACAGGAGCCAAAACTGTTCTCAAATAAATAAGCAGTTCAGTCCACTAAATCTGAATTTCACCGACCCACCTAGTTCCAACCTGAGAACAATGCCCTCATGGAGATCTCATTATTCTTCAGTTCAGTTTGTCCTCCTGCTTTCACTGCAAGGTAAGAGGACCTTTTTGATGCTAGGAACATGGCAGGTGGGCATTTGCCAACTCCACAGGCCAATGGTTTAGGAAGCACATTTGCTGATGGAAAATACATTCTCCAAAGAAAATCTTTCTAGTCAGTGAGGATTATTTATAGCTTCTAACACAGAAGGTTTCAAGTATACAGGGAACATCATTATTAACACTAACTCAAATGAACTCTACAGGAAGGAGGACTACAAAGTCCTCATAGGATGCCCTTAAAAGATGTGGCCTTAGAGAACTTGACAATGGGAAGGGAAGGATGAATGGAGAAAGGGGAGTGAGTTACCAAGGCAACAATGGGACTTGGGGCTTGGCTTTCTTTTTCCAGGTCATCAGTGATCCTCCTTTCTTCCCTCTTCAATTTTATTTTTTTGCAAAAGGAATGATGGTCCAACATCTCTGAAGCAATACAGACCCTTCTGCTCAAAGTCCTGTTGGTACCCAGATTCCTGCTTTATGGAGATAAACTCATCCTCCTCCTCACTTTTAAGTCTCTACCTCTACTGACTTCACCTGTCCCACCCAGCTGTATCTCGAGGAGGCCACAAGAAAACTCTTTATTAGTTGGACTAGTTTGCTCACATCACATGTATGTACTTCATTCAGTCTTTGCTTATACCATGTCCTTACTTGGAACACTCTCTCACTGAATCCCACTCTGCCAAACACTTTAAGACCCACATCTAGCCACATTTTTCTCCATGAAGCTTTCTCTGAATATCTAGCCCTAAAGGAGCTCCCTCCTCTCTGAGTAGCAGTTAGGGCTATTTCCTACAACGTAATGCTAGTTAACCATATTGTATTATCTCTTAGTTTGTTATGCGTTAGTTTCTCCAGACTGTCTGAGTTAGGAACCTATTTGAGTTAGTGACCTATTGTGTTAGGGACCAAGCTATTTGAGTCAGGGACCTAGTCTACCCAGAATGGCAGATAGAGCTACTTTTTCTCATTTGTCTATCCAGAGGAAGTACTTTCTGCTAATTCACACAAAGGCACAGTATAGGACAGCTTCAGCCCTCTCTTTCTCTTGTAATCAATTTCAGACACGGGTAGACTAACCCAGCTGCCATGGATAGACACTACAGTCAGTCCCTAAGGAGAAAAATAATCTTCCTAGATCCTCTGAGTGATACCATTTATCACATCCTTTCTTTAAAGACATCATTTTTTTTTTTTTTTTGGTGAGGAAGATTAACCCTGAGCTAACATCTGTTGTCAATCCTCCTCTTTTTGCTGAGGAAGATTGGCCCTGAGCTAACATCTGTGCCCATCTTCCTCCACTTTGTATGTGGGACACCTGTCACAGCATGACTTGAGAAGTGGTGCGTAGGTCCGCGCCTGGGATACCAAACCTGCGAACCCCAGGCCGCTGAAGAAGAGTGCGCAAAACCAACCACTATGCCACTGGGCTTGCCCCAAGACACCATTTTTTTTATATGTAGAAAGTTGACTTAGCCTTCTAGAAAGAGCAGAACAAAAGACATTCTCTAAAGGAAACATAGAAAAAGCCACCAAATTCAAATTCTGAGGCAGATTGTTCTATAACAATTGTTAAAAGTCCTAGAAATGCAATCAAAGATACAGTTTGAGAAAAGAAGACAGAAAGGCCAGGTGAGCTGGCTGAAGAAGTTGCCAATAATGCAGAAGGGAAATTCAGCAACTGGGAGGCAATGATTGCTTCCCAGACAAACTACATCAAGTCTAGCATTGAAGTAGAAGAGTAAAGACCTGAAAGGGCAAAAAAATAAATTGGGCACCTTGGGGCACACAGATTTCCTCTCTTTGCCCAAGAGGAGTTTCTATCTTTGGTCCTTTAGTAAGTCATCTATGTTGCTGTGCAGGACCACCTGAGAGGAAGGGGCAGTAGTCCCAGCCCACCATTTAGTATTAGCCTCGTGACCCGGGGTGAGTCACTTGATCTAGTTCTCATCTGCAAAATGGAGATAATACCACCTCTCACATTTATTTATTCATCCATTCACCAGATATTAATTAAGGGTCCATTATCGGCCAAGCACAAAGGAACTCAATGGTGAGCAAAACAGACATGGTCTTTGCCCTTATGGAGCATCCAGATCATCTCACAGGGTTCTTAGTTACAGAGAAGGAAAGTGTCTTTGAACTGGAAAGCACTGTGACAATGGAAGGTATTCTTCATTATCAATGACTTCCACTCTTGATCTAGCTGTGTGACCTGGGCAAGTCATAATTTTTCTGGGCTTTCCTATTCTCATCTGTGAAATGAGAAAAGTTCCTATCCTAAAATTTAAGTATTCCAAATGCAAATGAAGAAGTTAAGATTTTTAGGTACTTCTGAATCATAGCTTTCTAAAAGATTATTATGAAATAGTTCAGGCATACAAAACGATAAGAATAATATAATGACCCCTTGTATACCAACTACTCAATTTAAGAGATAAAACATTACAAGGAACTCTTCTGGTGGCCGGTCTTCCTTTTCCCCAGAGGAAATAACTGTGATAAGTGTCATGTTTATTATTCTGAATCATGGCCTTTCTAGGAAACCTGGTGTGTGAGTAAGAATGGTTTACCAGTGAAGAGTTCTTCCCATACTTAAGTGTTCCAGGTTCCTAATGAATGTGAGGTCACCACAGTGTACATCAGAGAAAGCTCAAGTACCAGTCTGTTCTCTCCCTGCCACTCCTGCTTGCTGCCCACCTAGTAGACAGAATTAGAAAAACCATGTGGCAGGCATTGCCTATTGCATTTAGAAGGAGCACAGTTTTGTATTTACCTTGAGGGCCTTCTGTGCTGATTCACTGGATCCAATTGCGATTAGGTTAGGCCCAGCCATGCTGCAGAAACTCTTCAAATGCAACGCATCAGCCACCGGGACAGTGGAGACTGCATAATCCTATGCATGTAACAGAAACAAGCAGTTTGGCATTGTAGAATAATTCTAAAACCTATTTAAACCTGTCTGAAACATGCCTGCTCCTCTGGAACTGCCAGGAGCTCTAAATATCTGGAAGAAAAGCTGGGACCCACAGGTTTTGGTATTGCCAGTTGAACGAAGACTGCTTCTATGAAAAAGGGGCAGAGCCTCCTTCCAGATGTGTGACTGTGTCAACAGCTTCCCTGGTTGATCTATGGAGTGGGCTACTCTGGAAGGATGTGTCTGAATATCCTGTGCAAACTAGAGCCTCATGTCTTCATGGGGAACAGAGCTTCTTGGGGATTACCTCCCTTCCTGAGCAGTTTGGTGAGTCAATCTATTAATGATCAATAGAGTAAAGGGACCTTGAGAGGATGTGTGTGCAATACCCAGCACAGCTTCCAGCACTTAGTAGGCACCCAAGTACAGCGGATCCTTGATTCCAATCTGAAAACTCCACATTTCATGTTAGAATCCGTTGGGTCTCCAGGTTTTTTTTTTAAGTCATCAATTGTGCCAGCAACATCTGCCAGGTGGTTGTATGATTATACACTGGGAGAAAACTGAAGATATCCATGGTAACTTTGTCTGTTGCTGCTCTGGTAGCCCAATGAAGCCTGTTTATTGAGAAATTTGAATTTGATAGCTTCTAAAACGTTTAGCAAACATACAAATATTAGGAATTATTTTGCAAAGCTGATGACACATAAATACCATTATTCATGACATATTGATGCAATGGATCTATGAATATTTATTAAGTAATTACTCTGTGCCAGGCATAAATTACTCTTTACCTACCTTAAAAGTATCAGCCAAGATTTCAGCACCTCGTTGATTTGTCCTTTTGGAAAGGCCCACAAAAAATTCTCTGCCTATAATAAATGTCATGGAACATAGTGAGTGGGTGGCACCAGTGACGGCGCACTATTTTTTATCTATAAATAACGACCTTAAAGCCTCACACAGTTCTTTCCTACCACAGAGGGCAGTTCTACTTGTCCTCTGATCCCTACCCTCCTTACACAAATATGATTTCAAACTACTGCCCTTAGAGATAAACTTTTTCAAATTCATAGAGGCGGAAAGTAGAATGGTGGTTGCCAGGGGCTGGAGAGAGGGGGAGGTGGGGAGTCAGTGTTTAAGGGGTATGAAGTTTCAGTTTGGGAAGGTGAAAAAGTGCTGCAGATGGATGTGGTGATGGTTGCACAACAACATGAATGTAGTTAACGCCTCTGAACTGTACGCTTAAAATGGTTAAATGGTAAGTTTTATGTTATGTATATTTTACCACAATAAGAGAATAAAGTTTTTATTTAGGAAATAATATAATTAAACACATTAATAATCTGTAATCAGAAATTAAATAATAGCAATGACAAGTTAGCAGTGCTTCCTTTTTTTCCCCCTAAAAGAACAATACTAGACACTCTTGATGAAGTCGGATTCCTTTTCTTCCAATGCTGATGTAAGGGCTGAAGAAACCATCTGAGAAAAGTGAATTTAGTGCTGATGGGTCTTTAGGTCTGACCTCTAAGAGGTATCTTTAAAACTATGCATCCCTTTATTTCAAATCAAAACTTCAAAAATGCCTATCTACAAAGTACTAAAGTTTAGGAGGACGGAACTTTCTACTTATTTGGCTTTTCTGAAATTCTATAATTTTTCTTCTCAGAAGGCAAAATACTAAATAAAAATGGTCTCCTACTTGTAGGCAAACAAACAATTATAGTGGATAGAGTTAGGCAATACATAAATATGGGGATTCCTATCTTCCCTTAATTCTTTGGAAAAGAATTCTACACGAAATGTGGAAAAAATATTCAAAGAGAAATCAGTATATTTTGCCCCAGCACATTAGTGTAAAGTATAAGAAGAGTGGCCACGTAGAAGGAATTGCTTCACAGACTTTACAAATGTTAACTTTAATCTTCATGACGTCCTTATAAAAGGGGTAAATGACATAGGTCAAATGATGTTATGATAAATTCCAATGGCTTATGCTGTTGGCAGACAGAGGAATCTTTTGTGGCACATTGACAGTGTTTTGGTAATGATATGATGGTGTTGTCCTTTAAGAAAACTCACCACATACAAATTAAAACTTAAGTAAGGGAAAGGTCTTTTACTTGACAAAAATATCACTCTATTAAAAAAGTCAGCTGCGATTAAAAAAACATCAAATTTCTTTAATTATTTTAAGATAAAAATAAATGTATAAATTAGATTTATGCACAATTTTTAAGAAAGACATTTAATGGATTAAGCAAATTTTAACAAATTTATAATGGGGCTTGCACACTATTTCCATTTCAAAAGACTAAAGTGAGATAGGAAAGTACAAGAAAAGCAAACTTTTAAAAAGTAAGTTGGACTTCTATTTCTGGCAGTATGATGAACCATATCCCATAGATGGCTTTTCTGATAAAAACAACTAAAGTGCTGGAATTGAAATATTAAAAAAATTTTCTGGTTCTTATTTTCTCTTTTGTCATTTTCTTCTATACCAATTCACCCTCTTTTTCTTTTCCTTCCTCACCTCATTCTTTTATAGGAGAAACCAGGTCATTTGTCCTAGTGACTATCCTACATTCTGGATTTGGCTGATTGCATCCTTGTGTATCATCGAACATTAAATTGTTCCTTTATTCTTTGTATTTTCAGAAAATGGATAGTTTCATGTAGATGCTTAATTAGATTCTTGTCCAATTTTTTTTTTTTTGATAGGACCAACGCAGAGATGGGGCTGTACTTCTATGGCATCACATCATGAGGGACATGACTGACTGTCACATTTTGAGTGATACTAGAATGATTGCGTGTTCAGGTGGTATCAGCCTGATTCCTCCGTTATAAAGTTCCCCATTAAGCTTTCACATAATCGTTTGAACATCCTTTGATGACCATTGCACAGTTCCATTATTTTATTAGGAATCTACATTTATTGGCTAGAATTCTAAAAAGAAAAACTTTCCTCAGTCAAGTATTTGGTCTACTTGAAACAGAATTTATAAAGGAAAGACAGGCTAAATGCTTGAGTCTTTCCCTCACATGCCAATTATCAGAGTAATGAGTTGGTGTCCCAGCCACTTACAATAATGACCAATATGTTTTTTTAAAAAACTCCATTATCCGCTAATGAGTCAAAGAATAAATCATAATGGAAATCAGAAAACATTTAGAACTAACAATAACAAAAATATTCATATTAAAACACGGAGGATTCAGCCTAAAGCAGTTGGAGGGAAACTTCTATAGCTTTAAACGCTTACATGAAGAAGACGAAAGGTTCAAAATCAAAGAGATAAAATTCCAACTCAAAACGTAAGAAAAAAAGAACAGAATAAAAACAAAGAAAGTTGAAGGAAAGAAATAAAGATAGAAACAGAAAGAGGAAAGGAAACGTACAAGAGAGAGGGTTTAACAAAGACAAAAGCTGGTTCTTTGCAAAGATTCACAAAATTGACAGATACTTGGCAGGAAAAAAAGAGAAGGTACAAATAAACATTATGCATGAAAAGAGGACATGGCTACAGCTGCTGGGAAGCTTAAAACTGATACTGAGAAGATATGAATAATTTTATACCCAACATTTGGAAAACTTACATAAAATAGAAAAAATCTTAGAAAACAGAACTCATCAAAGCTGACTCAGAAAAACCTAAATAGTCATAAAATCATTACAGAAATGAAATTAGTCTAAAGTCTCCCCACAAAGAAAGTGCCAGGCCCACAGGGCCTGTTTATAGCTAAGGTCTACCAAAGTTCAAGGAATTTACAATTCAAATACTACTGATTTTAGTGAATAGAAGAATAGGAAATATTCCCTAATACATTTTATGAGGTTAACATAACTCTTTTACCAAAGCCAGACGAGGATAAAAAGAAAGAAAAATTACAGGCCACAGAAATAGAAGTCTTAAACAAAATATTAGCAAACTAAATCTGTATTAAAGATCTAAACTGTCTTAAAAAGAGAACATATCATGAGCAAGTTTGATTTCACCCCAGGGATGCAAGACTGGCCAAATATCAGAAAATCAATTAACGTAATTAATCACATGAACAGGTTAAAAAAGAAAATCATATAATCATCTCATTGAAGCAAAAAAGTTTACTCTATCACCTGAAATTCCATTTCTAGGTGTTTACTATAGAGGAAATCTTATACATGTCCCCAGGAGACATACACAAGAATGTACACAGCAGCCCTGAAAGTAATCGACAAAAACTGGAAAACACTCAAATACACATGAGCAGTAAAATGAGTAAATATATCGTGGTATATTCTTACCAGGATATACCACACAGCAGTGAAAACGAGTGAGCTACAGCTGCACGCATCCAATTAGATCAAAAGCAGAAAAATCACACCAGAGTTCATACAGCAGGACCGCCATCAAATAAAGCTATAAAACCAGCAAAACTAAACAAAATATAATTTAGGAATATACATATTGAGGTAAAACTCAAAGAAAGACAAGGCAGTGATTAACACAAAATTCAGTGCAGTGGTTACCTCAGGCTGGGAGGAGGGAGAGGTTGGGACTGGAGGACCACCTGGGGCTTCTGGGGTCCTGGCAATGTGCTATTTCTGAAGCCAGGTGGTGGGCCCAGGTGTTCCTTTTATAATTGGTCTTTAATTGTACATAAACATTTTATAACTCTTTTTTATATGCTCCATAGTTCATGAAAATAAATAAATAAAAGTAGATGTAAGTTGATGTTGTCTATTTAAGAGAAATAGGATTGAAACAATTGCTGCTAGTAGCTGCTCGCCTGACTGACAGATTTCCCAGCGGAACCAGAGTTGGAAAGCTGCTTTCGTTCTGTCCGTTTCCTGATGAATTATTAATGAAGCTCTGAATTACAGAAGGAAGAGGACAGGGAACACATGGAAGGCTTTACAGATTTTGTTTCTTACCCAGCTCAGCTTAATCCAAAAATTGAGTGGTGGTGGTAATAGTATATTGTGTATGTAATTAATGCCACTTGAACTGTACATTTAAAATGGTTAAAATGGCAGATTTTATGTGATATACATTTTACCAAAATAAAAAAAACAAATTGAGAAGTAGGAAATAAAAGGCAGGACCAGACATTGGGTGTGAATGAGGTGCCAAGAAGATAAAGCTCTTAATATCCCAATGCCATCTCAGTTTCAAATAAAATAACTTTTAAGACATTAATGTAAGTATTGAATACTACAAAAAAAGGTTTACAGTTAGTGTCAAAGGCAAGCCTCGATGCTTAGTACCTAATTAGAAGCTGGGGCAAAAACATTAGGCTTCAGATGCTAGGCAAAGACCTTTGATCAAAGGAAGAAATTCCTAGTATAGGTAGTACCATGAACTGAAAAGATTTTAGGGAATCTTTTCAGCTCAGCTGTTAAGATAACTACATGGCTGTGAACACAGCTTGTTTTAAACCATACTTCAAATATTATCAGTACCTGCTTAGAACAAGTTATTTATTATATGGTTATGTTCTGGTAAAAAAGAGTTTTATTGTAAGGAAGTGTGATTTACACATCTAGCTTTTCACAAAAGCCTATTTTATAAGAGAAACAGGCTGTTGTTCTGTGTTGCTAAAAAGAATGAAAGTGCCATCAATGGCAGACACAAAGAATATTCTAAGGGGAACTTACTAGGCAGATTCAGAGAATGCCTGAGTCTGCTTGGTCATAACCGGAGCTGAAAATGCAGCGTAGGCCTTCCTGACTCCTTGTTCTGTGTTCTTATGGCTCAATGCGTATGCACACCAACCTCAGAGGCAGGCCACTGCCTATGTCAGTGGTAGCACAGGTTGTACAGTGCACAACTCCAGGGGATACTATGCACACAACCTATGATAAGAAGGGCGCCCCCTGGAGCTCGGCAACACAACGGCCCCACCCATAGGTATGTGACACTGAGCAAGGAACTATTCAAACGTCACAGGACAAATACTCCTCCTCCTCCAAGAACATTAATTATATCAAAATATAAGTAATACAAAACATTTTTATACTAAAATTAAGACTGTATTTTGTCTATATACACAGGATTCAACATAAAATTCACATCAGCTAAAATGTTAGACTTCCAAGAAGCTTCGTGCTTTCAGTGGGCCATTTGGGGCTACATTCCCAAACACCTGGCGACCAGCCTCTGCTGTTAGGGCTACATCTGTGAAACAGGTATTTATTCTCTGACATTTAAGGGAAAATAATCTCTCACTATAAATTAAAAATTACTATTGCTTGTCGCGCTTATCAGTATAACTAGAATAAATCTGGGGATCCAGATTTTAGCACATGACTTTATGAAACAATAATAATATGATCATAAAGAGTTGAAAAGGTTAAATGCTAAAATATCATTTCTTTGGTAGTTATAACATACCCATTGTAAAAACTGATTCCAGTTAGATCAATAATAATATTAGCTGTTTATATTTTGTTGAGTTCTGCTGTTATTCATCTGGCATTAAGCCTAGTCAATTTGCACTGAAATTATTTAAATTCATCTTGCCATCTGGGAAGAAAATTATTTGTAAATGACACATCTTGAATTCAGAATCTTTAAATACAGACCAGGTATACTGTCACACAATGCAAAACCATGCAACCTATAAACTCAGAGGAAGATAGTAGACACAACCTACAAAATGACATGTATATACTGATAACATTCTTGTAAAAATATGCAAATACACATATACAAAAGGACATACACCCAAATATTGAAACGATTATCTTTGAATGAAAGGTCATTTTTGTTTTTTTCTCTTTTGTGCTTTTCTGTATTTTCCAAATTCCCTGCACTTAGCATTTTTTACTTTGGTAATTAAAAAAAAAAAACACTGTAATTAAACAAGTGAATGTAAGCCAAGTGTTAAAAATATTTTTGGATAGAAAAAAGTAAATATAATTATACCTGTGAATAGGACATCTCCACCATCTAAGGTTGCATTTTCATCTTTCATCTCTACTATATTGAGCTGAAGTTTTTCTAACGCTTCTTTCACCATGTCAACCTGTTGAAAATAAAATGATTCAGATTAATATCCTACCATTTTGTAACAGGAAAACCAATCATCTAAAACTTCTGAAGACTGAATCATGCTCCCATGTACACACATACACGCACACCCTTGTGAATATATAAATATACATAGTATGGTTTGGATTAGCCATGATCATTTCCAAGAGAAGAAATTACCTATTAGAAATTGTCCATTTTGTCCCCTTCTGATCTAAGCTCAAGTCAGTATTATAGTCCCTTTTCCTGTTGGAAGGCTAACTAATTAGGACACTGCTGGAGGCTGACTAGTTAAGACACTATTGAAGGCTGACTAGTTAGGACACTGTTGGAAAGGTGACTAGCTAGGGCACGTGAGTCAAGAAAGGTGGGAAGGCAGAACACCCAATCCTCTTACCCTTGCCAGAAAGTACAGGACTTAATTTTAAACCTTAAGTCAGTCAGTCAGTCAGAATTGTACGCACATAGAGTAATATGCGGAAGGAATAGCAATAAAAATAATCAGTAACTTGAAATCTTAGCCCACAGGACAGTCATTGCCTTCTATTCAAACATTTTCTAAAATGTCAGAACATCTAAAGCTTCTCTGTAAATCTGAACTGTTATTTAAAGTTAACCTAGGTCCCTAGAGGTGATTAACAAATACAATAATTGTAATCAAAGCCAAAAATATTTGAAAATGAATTTCAGGGACTTTCTATGATTCCAGGGTAGAGTCCGAAGCTCAGAGAGATTCTAGGCTGACCTACGGAATACTTCCAGTGAGGTTTACTTTAATACAAGAAAAAAAATTAAGGCATAACAAACGCCCTTTAAAGTTTACAATTTAATCCAAGTCCCTCTAGTAGCTCAACAGAACAATTTAAATATTTCTGAAGGTCTGTGTAATCTTTAACATGATAAAGACACACACGGAGAAGACATGAATAGGGGCTGAGGGAAAAACAAGAGATCACATGACACTGGGAAAAGCAGGTAGTTCTGCCAAAATACAGCATGCCCAGTACACAGGGTGAATTGTCAATGAAGAGTTTAGGAGACAAAAATATAGCCGAGTAACTTCTAAAGTAATAAAAATACAGAAATAGGTTGACAACAAACCTGACATTCATGCAGTCAAAAAAAATTAGAGAGGACACAAAATAAAATAAATACATCATCTCATCCTTGTCCTGGAACTCATGTAAAAGTTCCATGAACCAGAGTGACTCAGAATAATAAAAAATTATTTCCATGGACGAAATAGTCTTAATGTTGTAATAAATGCATCTAGTGACCTCTTTTAATAGCAGAATAGGTTTTTCTATGTAATGGGAAGTGGAATTGTTGCTATAGCATAAAAAGGAAGCAAAACAACATTTACCGTGACTTATTGGGCTACAGTGAAAATGCACAACTGTTTCCTCCTGGCGTCTGCTTCTGTGTCCATGGAAAATTCACTGAGTTTAGAGAGAGAGCATGGGAACTGAGCTACTGTTACCTTTTGTTTCTATTACAAATGCTACTGCTTCTATTATAATTTAACATTTCAAAGATTACTACGAATTCAGTAATAACATGTACTTTGGTCTGAAAAGTTTATATGCAATATCTCAACTCAGGAACCTTATTCAACTCTTAAGAGTTTAAAGAGAACAGAAGTAGGGAGACTAATATATATGCCAGTTTCAGAAACATTGCACTTCTTTAAAAGTCCTATGTCTTTCAAATTAAAGTTTTAGAGGATAAAATGCTTGTGGTTTCTTAAAAGTTAAAACAGCTGCACTGACACGAAAAACCTGGCTTTTGTGCAAGGGCAGTACTTTTTAAAAAATGTTCAGTGACATCTATATAAACAAAGTCATCAGGATAGGATACCACAAACATTGATGATACTATATTACTTTCAGAGTTAAGGGTATAGACAAGTTTAAAATATTTTAAAACTCAAGTAAACAGTTTTGAGATTTGCAGTACCATACGGCATCAAATTGCAACGTTAACCACAGGGAAGTTTCTGGAGAAGAAACAAGAGAGGCTGAATCCGGAGACTGTCCATTGAGAACTGCATGCTCTTGGCACAAGGGTTCCATGAAGCAGACAAACTCAGCTGCAAACAGGGCCCGGCATTGCCCTGACACACGGACCCACAGCAAGCCAGCTATTCAGGCAGTCAGAACACTAAATATAACTATAAAGTGGAATTTTTGCAGGAAAAGATCCAAACCATGAGCCTTCAAGAGACTGCCCATTCTGCAGTTACATAGCCATGGTTAATGTTGACTTAATTAACTTCCAAGAGGGAAAAAAAAAACCCCAAACAACACACCCACCTTTCACTAACCTTGCACAGTGGAACTTAGCATTACTCAGGGTGGAGAGAAACCGTCAGAACAAACAGTATTAATTCCAAAGGCTGAGTTGAATGGGTCAGTTTAGCCCATGAAATTAGAAATCAGAAGGGTAAATTAGAGAAATGACCTTAATTAATTAAAAATTTAACTACATAATTTTCATACTTTAAAGATTTACAAGAACTTTCTTCCTTCCCTTTTCACGCTACATGCATTTTGTTTCATTTTTTTACTTTTACTCCCATTTCTTTTTGCCCCATCTTTTCTCCTCCCACCCTTTGCTACAGGTTCCTTCCCTGACCACAGCAGGTTCAGACCACCTCTGCTGCTTCCAGTCATCTAACCCACACGTCCTTCTCTGCAAGAGCTGGTACTAACTTCGAGATAATTCTTCCCTTCCTCCCCCCAAGCCACCCTTTCTTTTTTTTTTTCCCCTGGAGTACTAATGTCAAAAAATGTAGAGTTGTTGGGGTTAAACATTCACAGTCACTTCACTGGGAACGTCTGTATAACGTAGTGTTATGATCAAGGGCCTGGGATTCAAATTCTAGCTCTGCTACTTATTAGCCAAGTGACCTTAGGTTGTCGAACTTTCTGAGCCTCATCTTTCAAAGTTTTCTCATCTTTTTTTTGAGGAAGATTGGCCCTGAGCTAACATCTGTGCCAATCTTCCTCTATTTTGTATGTGGGATGCTGCTACAGCACGGCTTGATGAACGGTGTGTAGGTCTGGACCTAGGATCTGAACCCATGAACCCCAAGCCCCTGAAGGGGAGCGTGCAAACTTAATCACTATGCCGGCCCCAAAAGTTTTCTCATCTTTAAAATGGGTGTTTAGTCATAATAGTACCAACTTCCTAGGCTCCTCCTGATCATTAAATACACGTAAAACACAGCACATAGCAATTGCTCAATAAATATTGGATATGACTTTTACTATTTTGATGAATACCAGCTTGTATGCACCTAGCGACAAATATTTGTACTATGAAACTGACCCACAAGAGAAAGCTGTTGATTTTTCTTACATTTGGACAAGTTTCCTGTGTTTTACTACCCCTTTGACAGATTCCATCTGCTTTCCAGTGAATTAAAAATTATAGTCTTTTCTGCAAAGCCAATGTAAAGTTAGAGCACATACATCGAGGGCACATTTAAATTTAAATCATTCCAATTTGATTTCCTTCCAGGTCCTGTCAGGCTATGTGGTAGATGTCTTGTATAATCTCTGCTTTGAAATAGCCCTCTGGAGGTACTATGTCAGGTGGGAAGTGGGCCTGTCTGGTAAGATGTTCCACAGGACTCAAAACAGTGTCAGCCAAGATGATATAGAAGGATTATAGTTACTGAAGACATTAACACTCGAAAGGACCCAGAAAGTCTAAAGAATTCCCCCTTTTTCTCAATGCCTGGTCTGCTTTTCTGTTCTACTCTCTTCTTATCTTCTTTTATGGCTCTCGTTTCTGTTCCCTCATTTATCCTGTCGTGTTTACATCATCATTGTGTTTTCTCATTTCACTCTTTTTGGGTTCTCATGGTGAATGGAAAGATCCAGGGATTTGAATACAGGCTCTATCACTTATTAGCTATGTGACTTGGAACGAGTTAACCTCTCTGAGCCTCAGTTTCCTAATCTGCAAATGGGATAACGTTTTTTCTCTAACAGGGATTATGTGAGTAACAAATAAGCTAATACACACAAATCACCTAGTTTAGAGCCTGGAACATTGTGCTCAAAACCAGTAGTTGCTGGTGTCATTATTATTTTGCCTTAACTCCGTGCTTGGTTTGGATTCTGGCTACCTCTCAAAAAGAAATAAAGGATAAAAACATACTATTTTCAGCATTAAATAAAACATCTTTTGATTTCAGCTCTCCTTTTCTTCTTGCAAAATCTCCCCCAAACCCCAAATACCAAAACAGATATATAAAACCTTATACATTTTTATGGGGAAGCTATGTGTATTCATCATAGCTTGCAATAGCACTGTAATTAGTTTAATATTCTTTATTAGGATGTCAATATTTTCCAGATGGCCCTGTCCAGAGTTGACTTTTGCTGAATACTTTCAACACTGCCCAGCGTGAATGTTCCACATCTTCACTTTGGATGTTGTGAATGTGCTCATGAGGCCTGATAAACAGTTCTGTGCTGTGGCTCCATTAAGAACCCACACCAACCTCTGTTTGCCAAGCTGCATTCCTGTAGCTGCTTCTGCTCAATGGGCTGCCAGATGTTAGGACTACAAACAAGGCCCTTGGTGTTGGCTTGCCTGTGGCCAACGTGTCTCAGTCCCCACAGTTCTGCCAAGCACTGGGAGCCGTGCTGTCAACACTACCACCACTACATTTTCAACGCCCATTTAAAAGTTCCGAGTCCCTTTATAACTCACCATATCACAAGAGCTCTAAAATTACAGTGCTATCCTATTCATACTCTTATCTAGCTCTAAAGAGCTGAATAGCAGCAACATAGCATTGTGGATAGTGAGATGGTTTCATTTTCTCAACTTGTCGCTGATTTTGTTTTGCCTTTTAATGTTAAGTGTGACATGTAGATAATGCTGAGGAAGCCACTCAAGAAGCTGATGTGATGTCTCTAGCACATCAAGGCACAGCTGGCTTGGAGCTCGCTGAGGCATCAAAGTTACACTGCATTGTCT